TCCTTTCCTTTCCTTTCCTTTCCTTTCCTTTCCTTTCCTTTCCTTTCCTTTCCTTTCCTTTCCTTTCCTTTCCTTTCCTTTCCTTTCCTTTCTCCTCAATTTCTTTTGTCTACCAGATCTTGGGGACTGAATTCAGGGCTTGGATGCTATCCCTGAACATTTTGCTCAAGGCTAGCATCCTACCAATTGGAGTCGCAGCTCCACTTCTGGCTTTTTGATAGTTAATTGGAGAGAAGAGTCTCAGGAACCTTCCTGCTTGAGCTGGCTTTGAACCTGGATCCCCATATCTCAGCCTCCTGAGTAGCTAGGATTACAGGCAAGAGCCACCAGCACTTGGCTCATTTAAATTTTTAATTGTGTTTTTTAGTAATATCTCTGTTTCTATTTTAATGTAGCCTTAGAATTTAAAATAGCTGTTTTTAGCTTATTGTCTTAGTATTTCTATTAGTGCAGTCTTTCTATTTACTTTTTGGTGGTAGCATGCAATAGTAAAATTCTATTACTTGTCTCTAAACTTGGTGTGAAGAGACGGTATTTTGTTAGGTTTTTAAGAATCTGCACATGTCTTCATGGCCACATTTTTTTTTTTTTTGGTGGAGTCCTTGTGTCAAAATATATCCAGACTTGTCTTCTGTCGCTGGCAGCTCTGTCATTGGTCACCTTTTTCCCTATTCCCCAAGATAGATTGTTTTTCTCAGGCTGTTTTCAAGACTACCTTTTTTTTTTTTGGGTGGTGGTAGCCAGTTACTCTTTACTGCTGAGCCACAGCTCCGGACCTGTTTTTTGCTGGTTACTTTTGAGATAGGGTCTTGCTCCCTGCTCACATGTGTGCCTCCCACTCTCCACCTGTTAGGCAAGGAGTCTCATGAACTTTTCTGCCCAGGCTGACTAGGAGCTGTCCTATGTCCATGATCAATCCACTGTCAGGTAGGATTACAGGTGTGAGCCACCAACTCCCAGCAAGACTTTCTCTTTAATTTTTGGTTTCCCACAATTTTATCATGATGTACCCTGTCCAGCACAGATCATTTGCTTTTTAATCCTTCTTGATTGTTAGGTATGTAAATTAACATTTCTACCACATTTAGGGGAATTACAGTCATTCTATGTGTGTGTGTGTGTCTGTCTGTCTCTGTGTATCTGCCTCTCTCTTTCTGTATTCATTTGTGTGTGTACTGGAGACCAAATTCTGGGCCATGTACACTTGTGTATGCTTAGGCAAGTACCATACCCTTGGTTCTCCAGACTTTATTTCTGATATATTTTCTTCCCACCATGTTCCTTCTTTCTCTTTCAGAATCTAATCTATGTGTACCATTCATTGATTTATATTCTCCCATACAAGTCTCATGCTTTCTTCTTTTTATATATTGTTATTGTAGAGTTATACAGAGGGGTTACTGAATGAGGTAATGAGTAATGAGTATAATTCTTTTTCAACCATGTCTCCCCTTCCCTTGTTCTCTTTCATGCTTTCTTCTTGTTCTTCAGCCTTGGTCCCCTCCACCTTCTTTTTGTTCTTCACATCCTAACTTACAGAAATAAGGATTTGTGGCTCTGGGAATGGATCATTGGAAACAATCTGTTATTGATGTAACTGGTGAATTTTTCATTTCAGATATTATACTGATCAATTGCAGTATTTGTTTCTATTGACTTTTCCCCCTTCGATTATGGGTTGAGTGGTACCTTATAGGAAGTCTGGATTAAAGGGGGTGGAGTTTCGTTTCTGAGATTGATATTATTAGAATTAGTTTTTGAGTTTTTTTGGTCAGTCGTGGGGCTTGAACTATGGACTTGGGCACTGTCCCTGTGTTCTTCAGCTCAAGGCGAGTGTTCTACTGCTTGAGCCACAGCGCCACTTCCGATTTTCTAGTGGTTTATTGGAGATAAGAGTCTTACGGACTTTCCTGCCCAGGCTGGCATTGAACTGGGATCCTCAGATCTTGGCCTCCTGAGTAGCTAGGATTACAGGTGTGAGCTACTGGTGCAAGGCTTATCAGAATTAGTTTGTCTCTCTCTCTCAATCATATGGCAGTTCTTTCCATTTTGAGCTTAGTCCAAAGGCTGGCTCTAATTCTTGAATGAGATCTTCACGACTCCTACATGACTTTCCTGGTGTCCCAATTGAAAGCCTGAAATCCTTATAATGACCCCTCTTCCATAGTTAAGTAGAATGCTGGTGTCCCACGTCCCCCACCCCCTACCCCCGATCCCCAGGCCACCAGGATCTTCCTGTGACCTCATGGAGACTTGCCCTGAGCATGGACAGTGACTCCATTCGTCAAGCACATTTCACAAATCCCCACAGCATTTCCTTTGGCCTCTCCTCTGCTGCTCTGGTCTGCAGATTCCCATTGCTTCTACTATGTGGAGCAGCCATCCATGTCTTCTGCTCAGGGGAATGAGTTCTGCTCGGGCAGAAAAAGCCTTCAGGCCAAGCAGCAAGCTCGGTTCTTCATTGCCTGCGGTCAGTGCCTGAGGACAGCTGCTTCCTGTGCTGTGTCCGGGTTTGACAGTTGCACCAGAGAGGGCGGCATCAATTATTCTGTCTGTTCTCTTGTGGTTAGGAACAGAAGTCTGGGACTTCGTCTTCCTCATTAACAATATTAAAAGCACTTTACCAGTTTATGTTTCTGATCCTATCTGGACTACAACTGATTTTTCTATCAACACAACCTTAATTTCTGTGGTCACTTCAAAGGGTTTTTCGTTAACATCTCTTAGTTCTGCTGTAAACCCACGTGTCTGAGCTTCCTGAGTCTGGCCTTTTATCCACCACAACACTGACTCCCTGTTGATTGGCTGCCCTGTGAGCCACTGGGATGTCGTCTTTTGTAGACTGTAGATTGCCATCAGTGCCACGCTGCTCTTAACTCACGACAGTGCGCATAACTCAAGTTGGGTTCTGAGGCTTACCTTCTCTCTCTTTTTGTCTCTTATATTTCTACCCATCTTCCTTCCCTCCCTCCTTACCCCTCTCTGATCAGTTACAAGATGAAAGCTTGAGGTGTGTTGTTGGGCCTTGTTTTAACTATTGAAATGAGATATGGGGTCTCTTCTCCTTTGGAACTTGCAGTGCAAATATGTGTAAAGCCAATGGGACATACACATGGATCTTGAATCACTGGTGTTGTGTCTGTATGTCCCATTGGCTTTACACATATTTTCTCATAGCTTCTAATGACTCCGGCATAGTAAGTCGTTTCTCTTCTAAGTTGCAGCCCATATACATACACGCTCCATCTTCTTATTTATTTGGTGATGGATTTGCTTATGTCTCTTGACCTCATGACAGTCTTATGTTATCTGTTGCTTGGACTCTATGGCCCAGCCTCTCATTCTTCTTCCTTCCAGGATTCTTCTGGCCAATCATTCCCATAGTTTAACTTTTCTATAGTTGAGTTTCTAACTCATGCTAAACAAAACATAAAACATCCATTTACAGATCCTACTAGCTTCAGGTCACTAGCTGCTTCCTAATCTTCCTTACCAGCCAGTTGTTGGATCCTCTTTGCTCGGTTGTCTCCACATTTCCCTTCTTGGTGCTTCCTGGGACTGTACCTTCCAGCCACAGTACCCTTCCTTTCTCTGAACCATGCAAGGCCCCTCCTTCCTATGGGGAGAAAGACACAGGCCTCCCCAGGTTTCCAGGCTGCTGGACTACTTAGCTTCTTCACACTGAATTATGGCTCTATGTGCTCATGTCTGGCCCTGTTTCTGCAAATAGAAGGCTGTATGTGACTCTCCTATGTTATCATAGGACCTCTTGTGTCCTCCACTTGGTTGTAACTATTTGTCATCTCTCTCCCATTAGGACCCTTTGGGGCTCATTTTCATTTATAGAATGTTTGAATGGCTTTTCAGAGAATTAATGATTGCCTCTAGATGTATAATTCCAGTCCTATAGCTGTATTCCTTTGGCTACCTGCCTGATCATTACTGACTCAGCCCAACTTACTTTGGGTCCTTTGGTATGAACTGACATCCTTTTGTACATGGCCTTACTCACAGTCAGTAAAAAATAAGGTGGAGACTTTTCTTCTTTTCTTCCCAGTGCTGATTCTCGGAGCTGCTGACCTGAGTCTCTTCAGCCTTTCTAAGAAGATGTGGGCTTTGCTATGTGATGTTATGCATTCCAGTCTGCATGCAGTTCTCATTTCTCCTTTTCTTTCAGGCACTGCGTCTTAGTAACCTGGCTATGGGGAAGACAACCACTGGCCAGATCGTCAACCTGCTGTCCAACGATGTGAACAAATTTGATCACGTAGGTTGCTCCCTAGTGGTCCCTTTTTAGCATATTTCCACCCCTCCCCCCACTTTTTTTTTAATAGATAAGGATTCTGTTTTTTCAATCTGTATTTACTTAAAAACAAACAAACCCAAAAACTTCCAATGGTTGTTAGGGGGATTATAATTTAACATGGCCATTTGTGTACAATGTACTACCTTGGTCAGAATCGCCCTTACCATTCTCTCCACTCTAATTCCTTCCCCCACTGGTCACACCAAGTTTTCCATTTCCTTTTTCCCATATGTACATGAAGTATTATGACTATTTATCCACTATTACCTTTTTCATTGATTTTTATTTGAGGACATAGGCCAGCCATTGCACTTCGGTGTGCAGTTGTAGATGTAGTAATTCCATGGTTATTCTGTAGCTTTGATATTTAGTTTTTCTGATGTTATGTAGAATATCAGAACTGTCCTCTACTGCTTCTTCCTAACTTAGCATGTGTGGTGGTGGAGTCTTGGCTAATTGTCTTATTATTATTATTTTTTTCTTTCTTTCCTTTGGTAGTACTGAGGATTGAATTTAGGACTGGTAGGTGCTAAGTTTGTAGGCAGGTGCTCTGCCACTTTGAGCCATTCCTTGAGCTCTTTTTTGTGATTGTTTTCCTATTAGGGTCTCCCTTTTTTTCCCCAGGCTTGGTTGGACCATCGTCCACCAATTTATGCTTCCTGAATGATAACAGGCATGTGACACCAGGCCCAGCTTTTTATTGGTTGAGATGGGGTCTTCATCTTAGCCTTCCAAAGAACTAGGATTATGGATATGTTTTAACACCTGACTATCCTTTTCTAAAGAGTAAACTTCTAACACGTAAAGGTTGTTTTTTTTTCCCTCAATACTGTGCCTAACATAGAGAAACCCTTTGATTAAACAATGCTAACTGGTGGTTACTAGTTAGAAATAAAACGTTTTCCTAATGTACTATGCTGTTAAATTTTTTTTTTTTTTTTGCGAGGGGGCTTGTGTTTGAACTCAGGACCTGGACACTGTCTCTTACCTCTTTGTTCAAGGCTGGCATTCTACTACTTAACTTAGAGGTCCACTTCTGGCTTTTTGGTGGCTGATTGAAGATAAGAGTATCACAGACTTTCCTACCCAGGTTGACTTCAAACTGCAATGTTCATCATCTCAGCCTCCTGAGATGCTAGGATTACAGGTGTGAGCCACCAGCGCACTACCTCCCTATTTGATACTTTGATGTATCCACTGCTGGTTGGATCTGCATTGCACCAGGACCACTTTTTCAATTACTCATTTGAATACAAACTAAGGTCCCTACTCAGTGTCACATACTTAGCTGTAGAGCACCCAAAGGCTGTGGTAAGCATTGTAGTAGAGCTTTCCCTAAGGTTCTGGGGGCTCCTGGTGAACCAGGGCTCAGTTTTGAGGCAGAGAACATTCTGAGAAGTGCTGGACTCATCTGTGAGACAGAGGTCTCTGCCAGCACTGGCTGTGGGTCCTGGCATGCAGAGTCAAAGCCGCCCTTTTGCTGTGCCAGGGCTGTGGTGTAGACGCTTGCATTTCTGCTTTAGCAGATCAAAACCACTCTGACCCTTTCTGTTGACTTCTCATCTGTTCTGTTGAAGCCGTTCTCTTTGCTCCTCCTAGTTTTATTTCTACATACTCACAAGAATGCGTCGTCCTTTTCTTTGAAGGTGACAATCTTCTTACACTTCCTCTGGGCTGGCCCGCTACAGGCCATCGCGGTGACCGCCCTGCTGTGGATGGAGATAGGAATATCGTGTCTCGCTGGGATGGCGGTTCTGATTGTTCTTTTGCCTTTGCAAAGCTGCATTGGGAAGTTGTTTTCATCTCTGAGGTAAGAGAAAGGCTGGCGTGACAAAAAAAAAAAATCCAACAAAAAAACCCATGGCCAATATATTTGCTTAAGCCAATTCTCTGTCTGATGCTTTGGTTCAGAGAGACAAGAAATGCCTTTTATTATCTCTTCTTTGCATGTACTACAGGCTTTTCAGGCTTAGCCATTGGAGCTCTGGTCGTGAGCTAAAAGCCAGTCTTAGAGGGGAAAGGTGAAGAATTTGCTGGCTGCTGTCAGCTTCATTTTCAGGCACCTGTGGTCTTAGTCAGCAGAGTGTCTGTAAGCAGAAGTTACCTTGGTAGAGTTATTGACACACATGTTAAATATTAATAAAATCAGATATTTTAGAGGCTTAATTCTAACTATATCGGCTTTTCCTGTGCTTGTGATGGGATTGTTTCATGCATGTATACACTTGTGTGTTCCTTTTAATTCAGTGTTTCCAGTAAATTCTAAGTTCCCCAAGGGCAGGGGTCAGTCCATCAGGCACTGCTGGCTCATTCCTGTACTCCTAGCTACTCAAGAGGCGGAGATCTGAGGATCACAGTTCAAAACCAGCCCCAACAGGAAAGTCCATAAGATTCTTATCTCCAATTAGCCATCAAAAAGCTTTAAGTAGAACTGTGGCTCAAGTGGATAGAGCTGTAGCTTTGAACAAAAAAAAGCACAGGGACAGCACCCAGGCCCTGAGTTCAAGCTCCAAAACAACGACAACAACAAATTCCTTACCCAGTGCTCCGGGATGCTGCTGCTACAACCCTTTCTGTTCTGTCCTGTAGCATGGCGTCCCTGTTCTACCATGGCTGTGGCTGTACCAGCTGCTTCACAGTCATACTTAGGTGCCCTGCTGCCTCCTCCCGTGTCCCCCCCCTCCCCCCAGCTGCCGAAGAGGATGGACAGATTGTGTCTGACTCATTACCATCCTTTCCTCTGCCAGACTTGGCAAGTGCTCCCAAGTGTTTATGGAGTTGGGCTGTTGTGTTGACTTCCTGACTGCAAGTATTCATTTTCCACTGGTGGTGTGAGGAAGGCCATCTGGGCATCTGGGCGTTGTCCTGGCTCCTGAGCTTTAGGGACTCATTAGACAGTAGGTCTCTTGCTGTGCCTGAGGCCCTAAGGAAAGCAAGGCTGCTGTGGCTCATCTATCACATGTATCCCCTCAGGAGCAAAACTGCTGCTTTCACGGACACGAGGATCAGGACCATGAATGAAGTTATAACTGGCATAAAGATAATAAAAATGTATGCTTGGGAGAAGTCATTTGCTGATCTCATTACCCATTTGAGAAGGTAGGTTTTTGTGTTGGTCATATTTTATGCTTTATTCTGTCCTGTTTTTACTGAATAGGAGTTGTTAAGTCTGGCCAGGGGCCTGGGGCCTATAATCCTAGCTGCTCAGGAGGTTGAGATCTGAGGATCACAGTTCAGAACCAGCCTGGACAAACAAATTTGAGATACTCTTACCTCCTACCTCCAGTTTACCAGCAAAAAACCAGAGGTGTAGCCAGGCACCGATGGCTCATGCCTGTAATCCTAGGTACTCAGGAGGCTGAGATCTGAGGATTGTGGTTTGAAGCCAGCTGGGGCAGGAAAGTCTGTGAAACTCTATCTCCAATAAAAAAAAAAGCTGGAAGTGGTGCTGTGGTTCAAGTGGTAGAGCACTAACCTTGAGCAAAAAGCTTGGGGACAGAGCCCAGGATGAGTTCAAGCCCCAGGACTAGCCAAAGAAAAACAAACAAAAAACCAAAAAAAAAAAAAAAAACCAAGAAAGCTGGGTGCTGGTGGTTCATGCCTGTAAACCTAGCTACTCAGGAGGTTGAGATCTGAGGATCATGGTTCAAAGCTAGCCTAAGCAGGAAAGTTGGTGAGACTCTTTATCTCTAATAAATCACTAGAAAACCAGAAGTGGTGCTGTGGCTGAAGTGGTAGAGCTCTTGCCTTGAGCTGAAGAGCTGAGGGAGCACCCAAACCCTACGACCAACAACTGCCCCCCCAAAAAAAATAAAGAACAAAAAGAAGTAGAGGTGTAGCTCAAGTGGTAGAGTGTTGGCCTTGTTCAAAAAAATTTAAGGACGAGCGCAAGGCCCCAAGTTCAAGCCCCAGTGTACACACACACACACACACACACACATACACACACACACACACACACACACACACTCCACGGAGCCTGATTATGTCTTCCCATGAGGATCAGCTTAAATATGACCCATCCCACCCCTGCTTGTTGCAGTGTGGTTACATACAGTGGCAGAGGGACGCTTTTAAACTTGGGCTTCCATTTAAAAAAAAAATAATTTTTTCTGGTCCTGGGGCTTGAACTCAGGGCATGGGCACTGTCCCTCAGCTGCTTCTGCTCAAGGCTAATGCTCTATCATTTAAGCCACAGTGCCACTTGCAGCCTTTTCTAAGTAGTTTATTGGAAATGAGAGTCTCATGGACTTCCCTGATTGGGCTGGCTTTGAATTATGATCCTCAGCTCTCACCCTCCTCAGTTAGATAGATTAAGGTGTGAGTCGCCTGGCACTGGGCTTCCTTTTTTTTTTTTTTTGGTCCAGTTGTGGGGCCTGAACTCTGGGCCTGGGCGTTGTCCCTCAGCTCTTCAGCTCAAGGCTAGTGCTCTACCACTTGAGCCACAGCGCCACTTCCGGCTTTTTTCTTTTTGCTTATGTGGTGCTGAGGAATCGAACCCAGGGCCTCATGCATGCAAGGCAAGCGCTCTACCACTGAGCCACCTTCCCAGCTCCATGGGCTTCCATTTTTAAAGCCACAAGTATTATACAAAAATGATACAGAATGATGCAAAAATGAAGTCCCACATGTTTATAAATACCCCAAATCCACCGTCAGCAATGGTTTCAAGATGTAAAAAGTTGGGCTGGGAAGGTGGTAGAGCCCTTGCCTTGCATGTATGAGGCCCTGAGTTCAATTCTTCAGCACCACATAAGCAGAAAAAGCCAGTGGCTCAAGTTGGTAGAGTGCTAGCCTTGAGCTGAAGAGCTGAGGGCCAGCGCCCAGGCCCAAAGTTCCAGCCCCAGAGTTCCCGACAAAAAAATTAAAGAAAAAAGAAAAATGTAAAACTGTAAGAATTTATGTTAATATAGACAAGTGGGAAGAGTTGAGAGATTGGGTGTGTTTATTACTAGCAATTATGGAGATACAATTTGTTTTACCTTGCAATATTTGATTCTGTTTTCTTTTTCTTTTCTTTGTGCTAATACTAGGGCTTGAATTCAGTGCCTGGACACTGTGCTTTAGGTGCCTTTTTCCCCCCCTCCAGCTGGCTCTTTATTACTTGTGCCATAGTTCCACTTCACTTCTAACTTTTTGCTAGTTAGTTGGAGATGAGAGTCTCACAGACTTTCCTGCCCAGGCTGGCTTCAAACCATCATCCTTAGATCTCAGCCTCCTGAGTAGCTAGGATTATAGGCCTGAGCCACTGGGGCCCAGCCAGTTGGCTAGTTTTCATACTTCAGTCTTTCCTGGTCACCTGTCATTTTTGTAACCTCTGCAGGTGTGTCTGTTCAAACATGTTTCTTCCTTCTCTTTTGGCTTCCACCGACATGAAGCCCTTGAACACCACTATTTCCCATCAACCACCTCTTCCTCATACCTCCTGAGGCTTTCTGCCAGCTACTCCTGTCTGTGATTTTGGGGTCTCAAAATTTCAGGTTTCTCTTTTCCTGTCCTGACCCTCTCCCCTCTCCCTCCTCCCTCCTTCTCTCTCCTTCTCTTCTTCCCTTTCCTTCTTCTCTCTCCTCTTCCTTTTCCTCCCCTCTTGTGAGTCCTAAGCTCCTGGAGGAGGTGGGCTGTGCCTCATTTATCCTTTGTGATCAGGGAGGGGTCTGGCCCAAGACTTTATTGGTGATGCCTATTGAATGACCCTGTTTCTGTGCTGTTCAATCACAGTCAGAGTGGCCAGAAGGTTGTGGTATGCCTTAAGCATCTTGGATTAGATGAGTCAAGGGTGGCTATTAAGTGTTTTATGAAATGTGTCCCAGAACCCATACTCACAAAGACTTCAGTAATGTCCCAGGCAGTTTATCTTAGTGGCTGTCTCTTACCTAACCTGGGGCCTAGCATAGGACCTACATGACTTTGATGTTCACTCTTCTATGGGAACCTGTATTCTACTCTCTTTTCCAGGAAGGAAATTTCTAAGGTTTTGAGAAGTTCCTACCTCAGAGGGATGAATTTGGCATCGTTTTTCGTTGCAAACAAAATCATCCTGTTCATGACCTTCACCACCTACGTCCTGCTGGGCAATGCCATCACAGCCAGCCGGGTGTTTGTGGCAATGACATTGTATGGGGCTGTGCGATTGACAGTCACCCTCTTCTTCCCCTCAGCCATTGAGAGAGCGTCAGAGGCAATCGTCAGCATTCAAAGAATCGAGGTTTGGTGGCAAATAAAGTTTTAAAGTTGTAGGTAGCCCTTAAGTAAAATGATGCCTTCGTTTACGTAGCGTCATGTGTTCCCATTTGGGAAGCTGTAACCTGCTGAATACCAAAATGTGCAGTCCAAAATGTTGTATGTGTGTTCCTGTTTTGTGTAGAGTATGCTAACAGTAGCCAAGAATTGTTGATCATTTATGAGTACAATATAAACAGCCTTTGATGTATGAATGATGACTACAGGGAGTGAGGGAAGTGTCTAAGATCAGGAAAAAAAACAAAAACAACAGACAAATTGCATTTCTAAGGCAGTGACCAGGAAGTGACTGGAATCCCCAGTCGAGTGAGATTTGTCTTTGGGGTGGAAAGAAAGAATTTGTTGATGGTCCTTGCTCCTTGAGCAGTAGGAACAATGTCCTGAACTTCACTGCCTATATCCCAGTTGAAAACTGGGGGAGTCAGAAAATAAAGTTGACAACCCTTAAGCACAGCAAGCATTCCTCCCTCTGTTAGGTATTAAGGAACTTGTTACAGTCTCTTCCAGTGCCTTATGGAATGCTCTAGATGTCACACCCTTAGTGTCCATGTTTTGAGAAATAATAAGAGCCATCCTAGGCCCCTGGCCTCCCTGTTGTAGGGAATATATCTACTTTAAGTCATTTTCTCTGTGCTTAAGAACTCAGTAGTCCTTGCTCGGTCATGTGACTAGGTGAAGGATCAAGCTGGAATTCATGTCTCCAGGCTCAGGAGTATAATTCCACTTAGGATAAAGACTGCCATTTTGTTTCTCCCTTCATAGATGTTTTGCTAGTTACATGATGGCTTTTGTCTTTAGGTTCCTCACTTTGTTTTCTTCCATCTTCTTTGACTTTTCTGATCCTCAAGAACTTATCTGTAATAGTCCTCTTCCTAGTCCAGTCTGTGAGTATCCACCATTCCTTTACTTGCCTTCCCTACATCATTAGGAACAGATGATTCATATAGCTACCATATAGGCCTGGCCTGTGACATTTACTCAAATGTTTGTGCACCGATAACTGTGCTGAAATAAAGCTTAATTGGCTCTGTGAGAGGGCCTCGGCATAAACTGGAGCATCTCGGCTTTGGAAAAATCAACTTTGTTTCCTTCTTGGCTCACAGTTTCAAAGGTTCAGGTTTGCTCCCTGATCGTTTGGCATGTGACTGGGGCTCACAGTGGCTCCTGGCTGGACATGACTTATGCTGGTAGCAGTGGTCATCCTCATCTTAATGTTTTGAGTGGGACAGAAGTGAACTATGTCTGAGGCTTCTGAGGACTTTGAGAGAGATGAATAGGATAGAGTTTTCCTATACAGAGAAGAAAGTGTTCATTTCAGGCTGTGTGTGTGTGTGTGTGTGTGTGTGTGTGTGTGCGCGCGCGCGCATGTGTGTGTGCGCTGCTACATGGGCCTTGAACTCAGGGCCAGGGCACTGTCCATTAAGTTCCTTTGCTCAAGGATGGCACTGTACCACTTGAGTCACACCTCCTCTACTTCCAGTTCTTTACTAGTTAATTGGAAATTAAAATCTCAAGATTTGTCTGCCCAGGCTGGCTGTTGAACCTCCTTCATCAACTCTGTCTTCTGAGTAGCTAGGATTATAGACATGAACCACTGGTGCCCACCTCATTTTCAGTTTTTACTAGACTTTTAGAAAATAGAATACTGTGGTTTAGATAAAAGGTGTCTCCTAAAAGCCTTGAGTGTTGAAAGCTTAGTCCCCAGCTAGTGGGTCCAGATATTGAAAGGGAATTGCATGATGAGGGTCCTGGCCTAATCAGTGACTTGACCCACTGATGGACTTCTGCTTTGTTAGCATTTCTGGGAGATGGTGGATACTTTCTGAGAGGGGACCTGGTTGGAGGAAGTGGGTCACTGGGGCCTTTCCTGGGCCCCTGCACCACTCTTACTGCTTTCTGGCTTCTAAGAGGTGACCAGCCTTCTCTGCCACACCCACCCTCCCAGGATGCTTGGCCTCACCTCAGACCTAGGGTCATGGAGCAGGCTGGCCATGACCGGAAGCTTCTGCACATAGGAGCCCAAATAGTTCACTCCGTCATTGAAGTGACTGACACTGTAGACTATCACCATCAGATAAATGCTGGGTAAGAATTCTAAGGACTGGAAGAAATGACCATTTCTAGAGTAACTTGTTCAAAGGTTGCTGGCCCTTTCTCACACATATTCACGTACTTCAGTCACTTCCTGCATTATATTAGATTAGCCTGTGGGCTCTAGAATGCCTGCTAAAGATCCTGGGCACGGGTAGATTACTTGTCACTCCTGCACAACTTCTTGGAAGGTTCTCTGTGGGTGTGTTGGGCCTGCAGAAAGCAGGCGCACACTGGAGGGCATTAAGCAATAGAAACTCATTCTCGGTTCTGGAACTTGGAATGTGAAATCCAGTTGTCAGCAGGGCCTCATTCCTTTGAGAGAATGAGCCTCAGGGGAGGATCCTCCCTGCTCTGTCCAGCCTCCAGCCGCTGTCACAGTTGTCCCTTGGCCTGCAGCTCAACATTGCAGTCTTTGTCTCCATCTTCCTACCTGTGTCTGTCCCTGTCTCATCTCTTTTTACAAAGAAGCCAGTCGTGTTAGATTAGGACCCACTGTACTCCAATATGACATCATCTTAATTACAATTGCAACCTGTTTTAAAGTTAAATACACCTAAGAAGGTATAGGGGTTCATCTTTATGGGGGTGGGGGTGTGGTGGGGGAAGGGATGTGTAGTCTGTTTGTACTTCCACAGCGGAACACAACAGACTGGGTAATTTCTTTTTTTTTTTAAATTTAATTTAATTTT